AATGTTCCTAATGTATCACAGTGTGTATTTCAATGTGTAGTCCTTTGTTCTTTAAGGAGGGTAGTATAAAAACTGAAGTCTAATCACGCCCTCCTCGTTCAGAATTGCCTATCTCTAATATGCTCTGGACCTTGCGCAATTAAACTTCTCTGCTAACCCCTCCGGAATTCGTAAGAGTTCTTTCGTTTTCCACAAGAATAGTGTTGTGAGATTAATTTATCTTACAATACTTTTTCTTCCTGCAGTTGTTCTTGTTTAGACAGAATTTTTAATCCATGACTTGGTGAATAGCCATAATTGCCTGTCCTATGACTGACCTGCATTTTTCAATTAATACTGGAAGAAAGACTGCTTAGACAGGCTAGGTCCTCTTATTTACTCTTGCGAGCTATGAGATAACAAAGTTCCAGTTCTTACACCATTATTTCTCTCTTTTGTTGTAGCAAGCACTCAGTCCCAGCTAGATACTTAATTCTAGTCTTCTTTTGCTGATGCCTAAACTGAGCAATTCCCAGGGTAGATAGAGGGAAAAAGAGAGATCTCAGAACTACAGAGCTTGCCCAGCAAAAGCAGCCATTTTGTGAGTTGAATTCTGAGACCATCTTGCGACTGGGGCTCACCATGACACATGGAGTAAAGTCTTCTGGTACTGTAAGTAATTAATTGGGACAATTTAAATAAATATGATGCCATTTGTTTCAGCCCTGGCATCTCTTTACATCTTTCAATTTCAGTGTCCATTCTACAAATTCTACATTAGCAGGCAACACAAGAATTTCAGAAAACATTGCTTGATTCAGATATAATGCTAGGACACAATAGGTAGGTTCACAGATCAGGCTAAGGAAAAAACAAGTAATATTGGGTGAACACAAAACATATTAAATAACTGGAAGTGACCAATTAAGATTAGAATTATGGCATGTGGGGAAGCTGTTATAAAAATAAAAAGACCTTCCCAAATGCTATAATTCCAAAACACAAAAAACCTACTGGCAATTTCCCTACCAAAGAAAGTAGAAGCTTTAAAACAAGCACGGTCTTATAATGTGGACTTCCTATGGACATCTTTGGTTACTGTGAAAATTAAAACAAGGAAAATCTAGTTTAGGACAACCTTCAGTCTGATCCAACAGAGCTGTTCCTGTTTTATATTAGATATTGTATATACAGGAATTTAACTATTAGAAGAAGGATATAGCTAGAACTCCAATAAACCAAATATGTGACAGCTGAAACACCATTCCATGCCATGTTTATAAAGCTCTTAGGAATATGCTACAAATCCTAGCAAGCAAACCAAAGAGAATCCCTTGGACAAACAATCCGCACCCATCACTCACTCCTGTTCCATCCAATTGTTGTACGTGCAAAAACACACATCTGACACAAATGGTCCCATGGAAATAGAAAGCAACGTCTACATTTATGATGATCCCACTGGAGAAAAGGCCCATCTGTGCTGCTCTCACGGCATGAGAAATGGACAGAAAAACTGAACAGAGCAATTGGGTTATACGACATATGGTCACACAGAGCAATTATTTAAGACACGCTAGGATAATTATTTCTATCACATGTTCCAGATGGACAGGCTGCCAATTCAACCATCATCCATATACAACAGACCTTTGCAAGAGTTTAGCACTGATAATAAATGCAGCAAGTTGTGTGTGAATAATAATAGAAGCTTCAAACAATTAGTGCTCGTGTTCTGCAAGTTTTCTGCTTGTTTTTTAAAAAAATGTTTGCTGATTTGTGATGCCCTTGGGAAGATATAATTTAAGAATTAACTAAGGTAGAATAATTTAGGATGGCTGCATTTTGCCATCCTACTGGAGTCACTAGTGCCTGAGAAGCCAAGGAGACAGACAGACAGACAGACACAGACAGACAGACATTTGCCAAGTAAACAAACTCTCCCAATCAAAAACTAACCTTCAGGTTAATTTATACACCAGCCAAAGGAGAGGGGGTGATTTTTAAGACGCAAAAAGATGAAAAGATTCATAGAAGCATTTCAATTCTTAAATTCACTCCAATGGTCCCTTAACACTCTCCTTGGGTTAAAAAAATGTGTACACACACAGTGTGGGATTGCTCTGAAGGCAGCAAAAAAAGGGCAGGGGAGGGTTTGTCTGGCTCCACTCACTCCAATGTGGCCCAATAGAGGCAGCCTGTAAAAGGAGGAGGGCTTAGCAGACAAAAGAAAACCCAATTTTCTTTTGTAGCATTGATTCCATGTTATAACTTTTTCATTATGTAGGTAGTTTTTAAGTCAGGGGGCCTCCCATACAATTTCATAACTTCCCTTATCCCAACCAGCATGTTTACCTTATGAATAGGTGGCTTATATGCTGACTGTTTATCAAGTGACCTGTTTTTTGCTATATTTTATCCTGGTGTATTACAAGCCTCAATTCATGGATCATCACCTTGTAATAGGGAGGGGGCTTCCACATCCTAGTGGCTCTGGGGTATATTTTTGAAACTGCACACTCTCAGAACACTGACCCAGAAATGGCCAGATCAGAGAGAAAGGATGAGACTAATCATGATTCAGTGGAAAAGGAAAAGGCAACTGAGAAAACCAAACAAATACAATCAGGACAACATTTGCATGACCACTGTAAGTGAATTCTTCAATCTGGAAAGTATTCAGTAAGCTACTGAGTAAGGGCAGAGAACATAAATGAATAATGTTGGTGTTTACGATATGACTGTATCCACAGACAAAAACAAAAAGTGCACACACACATATGCACTCCCTACATTAAAGTGTGAAATATCAGAACCAAGGAACATTTGATATTATCAGAGAGAAATGTCACAGTGGAATACAGCAGTGACTTTCTCAGACTGAAGTAAATAAAATAGATTGGAATTCATCTTTATACAACAGGCTCACAAATCTTCTTCTGTGGACAGGAAATTCACAGAATAAATGGAGAAATCATCATTTTTAACAAGAGTTCAAAAGTCAGTGCTTAGATACATTCCCCCCAAAATGGCAGAATGATCTCGATCCAAGTTCAAGGTGAGATTTCCTATGTTACAATGATCCAAGTTTATGCCTGAAGCACAGATCTAGAGGAAGTTGATATTAAAAAGTTCCTAGAGTACCCTGTTGACCCACTTCACAAATTAAAACATGTCACAGTCATAATAGGCAATGTGTATATTAGAACATTAAAATAAAAAAACATTTAGAATCATGGGAACAAATGGATTTGGTATGTGAAACAAAGCAGATGATTGATTAATAGAATTCTCCCAATATCATCTATTTGCAGCAAATACCTTTTTCTAATAAGCTGAAAGATTCAATTGCTGGGCAGACAGTATCAAAAACACATTGACTATATACTTTGCAAAATAAAATATCATCTTAGCCAACAAAAACAAGACCTGACTGAATTATAAATCAGGAACGTCTTATGAATTCCAATTTAGAAAGCAACAAAATAATCAGACCAACAAGATACAATCTCAGCAATATTTCATAAGATAAGCAGTGCAGGTAAATAAGAGATTTAATATTATTAGACTGAATAAGCAGAATGTTTGGAGATCCCTCTGGACCAAGATCTGTGATATCATCGAAGCTGAAATAAAAACATTCCAAGTTGTAAACAGCAAAAGAAGGAGAAATGCCTGTCTGATTTGTTGAAAATAAATGAGAAAAATGCAAGGCAAAAGAAATCAGCAATAGAAGAACATTTATCCAACTAAAAAGCAACTGTTTTCTCAGCCATAACATATGACTATGAAAGCTAGATATTAAGAAAGTGTGAATGAATTAAAATTAATGTGTTTTCACCATGATACTGGGGGAAACTGTTGAGTACAATGAACAGCAAGAAGAAGTAATCATTCAATCTTGGATAATAAAAGTTAATGCTTAACTACTACGGGCATATTATGGAAGCATGAATATCTGGAGAAGACTCTGATGGTTGGAAACATAGCTGGAATGAAAAAGTTGTCAGCAGAACATAAGATGGCCAGATGCTTTTACTGATAAAACAAGCATAAGCTTACAAAAACCCAAGCAGTTATTTATTCACAGACAATTCTGGCAAATTGATGTCCATTAGGATGTGAAAAGATGGTAATGACTGAACTACTGAACAACAGCATCCTCTAAGTCATTTAGAGAACATTGCCATTGGGCAGTTTGATATTGGTATTAATAAAATGACATAAATAGAGAAATAAACAACTTTGCATTTCATGAGGACTAGATACATCTTTGGGGGGGGGAGTTTCTTACGTGGCACAGCAACTCCATATTCCTGTGGATTTTCTGCCACTACTTTCTGCTTGAGTTCATTTAACCGAGATCCCAAAGAACCTGAGAGATCAGAAGAAGAAATGGGTGAATAGACAAAATACAAGGCATATATGCAGAATAAGCCAACCACAAAAAGATATAGGCCAGTATTTGATCGGCAGCTTTATCTATCTTGGTTCTGCCCTTAGAAATGAATCAAATAAGATATTATGTGCGCTGTTAGCAATAGTCTTAAAAGTCTTTCTAATAACAAACTGCCATGTCCAATAAGCTCAGGGCCTCTGGTATGATTCCTCTCCAGATCAGAGTGCAAAACTTCTATTTACCTTACTGGGCATTTCTAGTTTTCCAATGCACACAGCAGTGGAATGAAAGGCTAGCAGTCCTAAATCTATCATCTCCTCCTGTCCAATGACCCTCATTTAGATCCCCCACACAGCCCAAATCCATTTCAAGTTTACTTTTTAAACAGCCATATAACTCAATGCTACTAGTTTGAAGGGCACTAAATGAAGGTTTTGCTCAAGCTTCATATCTTATTAGCTTTATTTTCCAGTCTTTCATTTTTCAAGCAACTGGCCTTCCTTCTCAATTTAAGTCAGAAGGGAAAGGCATCCAGCAGAGATTGCTTGGAAGCTGTGTGCCTCTGCAGCTTCCGGAGGGCCAGGCTGGCAAGCCCAGCCTAACCTGCTGCTTTCCCATTCCAGGATAAGGATAAGCATCCTACATCCTGCTCAGTGGAAAAACGCACCGTGGGAAAATGCTAAATTGCAGAAAGGAAGAGGGGTAGGATTCCTCATGCATGTTTATTTTACATATAAACCAGTTCTTCTCAACCCTGGCAAATTTAAGATGTGGCTGGTGGGAAATTCTGTCTTAAAGGTACCAAGATTCAGAAACACTGATATAAAATAATTTTGAAGTACTTATTTTGTTACATGTTTATCTTTTTTTTCCCTTCAAGGAGGTGATAGTACTTTGCATCATCCAACAACCAATTGCTAAAGTTTACAATTTCCAAGTTAGGAAGCAGAATCCCTGTTCGCAAAATGAACAGGAGGAACAGATTGATATTCCCCTTATCCTGATTTGAACTTCTCAGAGGTATCAAATGGGCCTTTGAGGAAATAGGATGCTGATTCTCATCCAGTATGAGTTTTATATTCTTAAAATCTGAAACCCTCAATGGAATACCATATACAATCTGCATATTCTACTCAATGTACCTTCAAAGAAGTATGCTTACCAGGCTAAGCCCAAGAATGACATAGGCAGAATCTTGACAGATTAAACCCTTACTACTCTCACCCTAACAGATATTGCCAGGGAGATTCCAGGGAGCTGCTATGCTTACTCTCTTCCTGTCACCTATCCAGCTCAGGGCTATGCTGCCTTTTGTCTCCTCTTTACCCTTTCTGGAACATGCTTTCTCCTTGATGGGAACTGCTGCTCCACTGAATTCCATCACACCAACTCCCCTTCTGAAGGCACCGTCTTTCACAATGTTATTCAAATCAAAGTTGCTCAGAACTAATTACAAGAGGAGTGATCCTCTGAATTATCAATTTTATATATAGTAGAATAAATGACTACTTAATTGGAAACTATTTGGATTGTGATGAAGATGGATCCAAAACCCAGTTTTTTCCCGACATGATCCTTGATACAAACTGCTAATCTCTACGGCATCCCACATCTTCAAAGATGAGGACTTCAGGGTGCATCTTTGAGTTCATCCAATTTGAAAGTGTTGATCTCCATTATTTTATTTTATTATTTATTTATTTATTTATTAATTTAATTTATACCCCGCCCTTCTCCTCATGGGACTCAGGGCGGCTAACAGCCTCATAAAAACTACAATACAAATACAATAATTAAAAGCCGAATTAAAAAGAAATATTTAAACAGGCCGATCATTAAAATTGTCCTTAAAAATCCCCTAAAAAGCCCCGCTAAAATTCCCTAGGCCNAGCGCTTTAAAGATGAAAACCAACACCTTGAAGCGCACCCGGAAGGCCACCGGCAACCAGTGCAGCTCGCGCAGCAGCGGCGTTACATGGGAGCGACGAGTCCCTCCCAACACCGCCCGCGCGGCCGCATTCTGGACCAGTTGAAGCCTCCGGGTGCTCCTCAAGGGGAGCCCCATGTAGAGAGCATTACAGTAGTCCAAGTGTTTTTCGATCTTGGCAACTTTTAAGGCATGGGCTGGCTGGTGAATTCAGGGAGCTGCAGTTCCCCTGCCTTAAAGTTACCAAGGTTGAGAAACACTGATCTGCAGTATGTCAACAATCAATTCCCAGTAACAAATGGTGCTCTTTTTACACAGAGCGACTCACCAATTAAAACCACAAGTCTCTTCCTTTCACCAGGCTGCTGTTGATATTTGATGACTTCCTCATATGTGAGAAGTTCTCGAGTGGAGTTTTGTTCACTTTGTTTGGCTTCATTTGCATCACTCTGCTTCTCCTTTCGGCTCAGTCGGAAACTTCTTCGCAAGCCAGCTAAAAGGCCAAAAGTAATACTTCTCTGTGTTGTTCAAAGCGTGTGAAAGCTTTAATCAACCCTATTCAGTCTGCTGTCTGATTCTTTTCAAACTTCAAAAGATTATAGTCTCTCCTTCTTATTAAACTGTTGCCAATCAAGTCTCAAAAAATAAAAATGCCCATATATAAAACAGATAGTCCTCAACTAACAACTGATGACTTAGCAACAATTTGAAATATCTCCCCAAAAGGTACTTATAATTGGTTCCAAAGTCCCAACACCACCACCCCCGCACGCACACACACACACACACAGTCAATGAGATCATTTCAGATGCTCAGCACTTGGTCCACATTTATGGCTGTTCACAGCATCCCAGAGTCACTAGACCATGATTTATTATTTATATTGTTTTTGCTGAACAAATGATTCACTTAAAAGCCATAACCTTTGCTTAACAACTGCCACCAAAAAAATTCATAAAAATCAAGTCAGTCACATGATGACTCACTTTATGACCATTACAACTTATGACCGTAAAGGGTGGGCTCCATTAGGATCATAAGCTGAGAATAGCCTACAGTATTTGAATGTCAAAAATAAAACTAGGGAAGGAGGGAGGGAGGAAAGGAGTCAACAGCTGCCCATAACTAGAACTAAAATAAAGTACCAAGAAAGAACCTGGCTCCATTACTCATTCATTAAGTTCAGCCATTTTTCAATCATGACCCTGACTGCAGCCATAGACATTTTTCTTTCTCCCATAGAAGTGGACAGCTATTATTCTCCTGTAATAAAAAACATTTTGAGAACAAAGTTTCAGAAGGATTCTTCCAGCCCTCTCTAATCTACCACATTCCAATCTGGTGTAGGGCAACATAGTTAGTTATAAAGCAACTGTATACAAATGCACTAGGAGTGGAATTTATATAGGTTGCAGAACTGTTTGCAGAACAATTGAACTATAAGATAAGAGCCCTGGTGGTGCAGTGGTTAGAATGCAGTACTGCAGGCTACTTCTGCTGACTCCCGGCTGCCAGCAGTTTGGCAGTTCAAGTCTCACTGGCTCAAGGTTGACTTAGCCTTCCATCCTTCCGACGTCGGTAAAATGTGGACCCAGATTGTTGGGGGCAATATGCTGACTCGGTAAACTACTTAGAGAGGGCTGTAATAGCACTGTGAAGCGGTATATAAGTCTAAATGCTATTGCTATATACCTTCCTGTTTCTAGGGGAAAATCTAGAATATGTATTATTCATTACAAAGACTGGTACCCACCTATGTATTGTCCATTGAAGTAACCCTCACAGTCACAGTCTTCTGCATAGAAAGAAGAGTGAGAGAATAGGTACAAATATGTTATAAGTTGCAGGTCATGCATTCTTGAAATAAGAATGTCATCATACATATTTAAGCACTAACATGAAAACCGGTGGGAAATAAAGAACAGAAGCTAGGCAAATTCAATAAGTAAAGCAGTGTGCCTTGCATAGAGGGATTGACCCCAAGAATCCATAGGCAAACAATTCTGTTTGAAACTCTGGAGAAGTGTGGGCTGATGCCAGGCTATGCCAGTCTAGTCTGACAACCTTCAAACATCTCAGATGTCCTTAATTCTCAGCCAAACAATCCTGACAGGGAGTGATGGGAGTTATACATTTAAAGGCTCACTGGCCGAGCAAGGCCAGTGCTTGCTTGATTGCTTTGCATATTGTTTTTCTTAACTGATATCATAATAAAAGTTGAAATTGTTTAATTGTGGCCAGCAATACTGAAAAAGATAGCTTACTGGGATAAGATAGATAAGGTAGCTATCTAGGGTTTCAAAGTAAGGAAAACATCTCATGAAGTTGATTTACCATAAATAGAGTAGTTATTTTTAAGTAATTATAATTCAAAGGCAGAGTTCAAGATACAAGATATGCAGACAACAAGCAGTGGATATATAGATCAGCAAACAAACAGTCTCTCATGAGCCTTGGACATGCTTGAGTTATCCACAGAGAAATTTAAAAACATAGAAGTATGGCTGCATGTATCCACCCCCCGGCCCCCCTTTTTTTTTCAAGAGTCACACAAAGAACACATGAAAAGTGGCAGGGTTTCAAATATGTGATTGCAAATTGAGTTTTTGACCTCCCCCAACAGATGCTTCTTTATGGCTAAGAAAGAAGGCGTTGTCCCCAAATTATTCATCTAATGTTAAAACAGTGAAACCTGGATGAAGAGAGGGTTCTTCAATGGGGGCATGAAATAATGAGTGCACATAAAAGTTCTACCTTTGAGAAATTATTATCTGGTGCCCTTGTGTGCATGGTTCACTTTTGATAAATAAGTTTAGATTCTGAGTTTTTGGTCCCACTGAACTTAGGAGGGGGACCAAGTTTTAAACAGTTTTAGGATTGTGTGATTAGTCTTGACGAGAACTCAGTCCTTTATAATAGTTTCTCAACCTTGGCAATCCTTAAGATGTCTTCAACTCCCAGAATTCTCCATCCAGCATGCTTTGATTTTAGCTCAATGCATATATAAAACCAGTAATTTGGGCTTATCACCATGACTTACAGTTAAGTGTGATTTGCAATATAAACCAAGCTGATCTGACTTATTCCACAAACCATACAATTAATCTTAAATGAGTATGACATGTGAAACCATCCAGTGGCTGTTTTAAGGTGACAAAATAAGCAGCAGACTCAACTGAAGAATTCAAATAGAACTAGCCAACTGTGTTACTGTTGTATAAATCTTTTAATCAGCCTTCCCAACTGCTCAGATTAAATTCCCATCATCTCCTCCCAGTTCACAAATCTGGATTGCTCCAAGCTTGTTACCCTTTCTTAATAAGTAAAAAACCTAGATGTTTCCTCAGGTATTTGGCCACATAGATGGCCCAGGCCTGACAATTAGTTTGTCTACTTTTAATCTTCATTGATGACTAAGAATGCTTTTTAAACTCCGGCATACACTATATTGGTCTGCTCAATATTTACTTTATACATTTCTCTTTTTTGCTTTTAGCCTTCTATGTACCACTGAGAGCAACTGTTTTGAGATGAGTGGCCATATAAATTGTATAAACAATTATCTGGAAACTGCCATGTTAGAGATAGCTCCTCTAATCACTCTGGCCAAATAAGCAGCAAATGACCTCGGCCCCTTTAAACTAATATAAAAAGCACAATGTTTATCATTAGAAGGGAAGTGTTTTTCTTTATTTATTTCCCCCTTAACTGGATTGGGTTCCTTATTTATCTATTTATGTAAAAGATTTATATGTCCTCCCATCTTAAGTAATTCTGAGTGGCTCACAAAAATAAATCCAATAAGTAAAACAATAATAAAGCAGTAAAAACAGTAAAACAATAAAATAAAAACACTATAGTTGTCCCTTTGGGATGGCCACTGCAGGCCCAGCTGCCCTCCTTCCATACTATCCACCTACTACACAGTCCTCAGTAAAAAGTCAGGTCTCTGTGTACTTTCAGAAGGTTAGAAGGGTGGAGGCTGTCAAATCACCAATGAGAGGGTGTTCCACAAGGTAGGGGTAGCTATGGAAAAGTCACGCTTCCAGGTTCCACTAGATGAGATTCCACTTTAGCAACAGCTACACTAGGGGACTGTCCCAAGAGATAAATCAAGGCAATTAAGTTTAAACTCCTGCATTATTAATACTGTTATTAAGACTTTATTTATAAACGGAGAAGCTTTTCTTATTTGAGGCAATTTTTAAAAAAGGAACCCATCACCCCAGTAAATTTTTCTGGAAGTTGCAAGACCAAATCAAAAGGAAAAGAGAGAAGGAAAAATAGCAACACATTGTGGTTCAACAGGAAATTACCTGCTGTGTTAACAAAAGCTCCTAGAAACAGCACAATAGCTTTTTAAGAAACAGCAGGAGCTTAATCCGTGTGATTAGCACATACAAAAAAATAAATTACATAGTAAAACACAGGGCAAATTAATAGCTAAGGAAAATTAAATGAGATTGACATAAGAGGCCCTGAGTGTATATGAGAAAAGTTTATTTGTCCCCTTTTATGAGGCTCTAAAACACTGGTTTCCATTGCAGATAGAATATTCCAACTTTAATCCAAGGACTGAGAGCCAATTTGGTGTAGTTAATATATCAGTCTAATAATCAGAAGATCATGAGTTCTAGTCCTGCTTCGGGCTACAAAGTAAGCTGGATGGCTCGAGGTCAGTCACTTTCTCTCACTACCTAGGAATGAGGTAGTGGCAAACCACTTCTGAAAAACCTTGCCAAGAAAATGGCAGAGACTTGTCCAGGCAGTCTCTGAGGATTGGACAAGACTGAACAGAAGGGGGGGGGATTGCTAGTAAGTTAGGCAAATGACTGTTCTCCTGGGCTGAAATGGGATGATCACTGGAAATTGAATTTTGAAGACAATCAAGCAGTGATTGGATGTTGTACCCCACCCAGTGTCATGTGATGGGTGGCTATACAAATATGATAAATAAATAAGCATCTTAGCATTCTAATCTCAATATTCCAAAAATACATTCTGAATTCAGCTTCTCCTCTCCTTTCCTGCCCTTCAGTTTGCTCTTCCTCAATTCCCACTTACGTAGGTTAAGCACCAAGTAATCCATCCTTTTTTTTAATCTTGAGGCAAGTTATCTATATTGTATGTTCTGAATATGCAGTTTATTTTACAGTAAGATAGTAAGGTAATATTTAAACATAATCACACTGAAATAATACATTTAGATTTATGAGCATGCCTTGTTTATTCACACTTTTTCCTGGCAAGGAGGAACAAAATGGGATCAGATATTATCTAATAAACCCCATTATTTGACGTTTATCACTAAATGTGCATTCACTGACTTTAAAAAATGCACACTGTACCCACAAAACAATATAATGTATGAAGCTGTCCCCCAAACCTCTATCTTTTTTCTTCAACAGAATGGTTTCAAATCCTCAGACTTCTTTCAAAATTTCCCCCAAAATTCCACATCCTTCCCATGGGGTAGGTGGTTCACTGTCTTGTCGAAGTATATTCAGATTACTTTTTAAAAAGCATCTTTGATGCAGAATCAAGTATGGAAAATGATAAACAAACGCACAATTGCACCATCTATCCAACTGAACAATCTAAGCTCTCTGTATCAGCATCTTGATTTGCTTCCCTGCAGGATGGTTTGAGCAGGCAGAAATTGATTCTGCTTGGTGGTGTCACTCCAAAGTAGCTGGAGAACCTACCTTTCTCAGAAGACTGATCATCTGCGGTTAGCATGAAAGGACAGAGATGAGATTGTTAAAAGGAAGCCAAGAAAAATGTCCCAGGGGATTCTTTGTTCAGTCTAATTGCTTAAGTGTAAGGAAAGCACCCGATACATTGTCAAAAAATATATAAGGGAATTTCAGAATACGGTGGAAATGCATTTAAACTGAAGGAACGTTTTTTCATCTTTGATGAACATTTAATAAAGATAGAAAATATTGGAATAAAGTTTGTATTTTGATACAGAAGATTTCAAAAGTGAATGTAGAATTGAAAGCAAAGACCTTTCTTTTGGGCGTAATGGATAAATAATCGAGACATCTTATGGAACTTGTTTTTGCGGTACGATAACAGCAGTGAGATTTTTATGCACTCAAAGATGGAAGGATTTACAAATATTTACAAAGGAAGAATGGATGGTGAAACTAGAAGAATTGGGGGACATGTTAATTTGACAGCCTTAATGAAAGAAAAGGCTACGGCAAATTTTATTTCTACTTGGAAATCATTTTTGGATTTTTTTGCGAGAAACTGAAAGAAATGAGAAGTCGATTTCGGGATTTGAGAATTAAAATTTTATGGAATTATGGAAATAACGTAGACAGATGTTAACCTTACAGTAAGTGTTTGATGTAGTTTTTTTAACTTATATCTATACCAAAAAAAATTGGAAGTCATTCTTTTTCTATTTTTTCTATTTTCTTTTTTTTTGCATTTTCACTTTTTTCTGAGTTTTTTCTTCTTTCAAATCTTTTCTTCTACTTCTTTTAACTTTGTATTTTTTTAAAAAAATCAATACAATTATAAATATACATACATATATACATACCTACATGTATTAAAAGGCAGGATTTTACCCCTCCTTTTGCCCAAATTTGAAGGGAGAAGGGACAAACTCAGAGTTCAGTAAACAAAACCTGAATAAGTAGAGATTATCGTATTTCATAGGGACTTTTGTAAAATTACAAAACCGTGCCCCTACCCCTCACTAGTTGTGCAAGAAAATTTGTTATTGCTAACTTCCTTTTTTTTCTCTTTATAATTATCAATTGACCATACCATAGTCCCAAACAACTACTTGTTTTGATGCACATAAATACATAGAATCAATGACAGGAGTGGAGGGACCTTTACAAAACTAGTGCATGCGGTGGGGGCGATATTTTGACAGAAAATATCCATACAAAGATAGGATGTCCTTTTACTGGCCATTTTCTTTTGCTATGCTTTGAGTATGCACTTCCTTCCATCAAATCAGGGCAAGTTCAAAGGACAACCCTTCTCCCTCCCACCCCTTCCTCCCCCCAAAAATGATCCACAGAGCACAGTACAGAACAGGGTAGAATTTTCATAGCAAATTTTCCCCTTTCTCTCCCCTTGGGTTTCTTTATGCCTCCTTATGGGCTTTGTGGTGATTGAGGATGGTCATCTTCTTTATTTTTGCTCGATTTCCTCATTAAAAGCTTTGTTTTCCTTGCAAGGGAAAAGATCTTCCTCATGGACTATTTCAGTGGGACTGATCTGACAATTACAGGAGAGAAGTGGGAGGGTAGCAATTTCCAATCTTGACAGTTTGTCTTCTGCATACTGTGGCTTTGATGGGGGAGGAAATTATGCTAGCCAGGGATAAGGAAAGTGGAGGTTTTGTGATAATATAATATAATAGAAGGAGGAAGGAGCGTTGGTATGTTTGCTGCCTTGAGTTATTTATAAAAATAATAAAAGCAGGATAAAAATAATATAAGTAAGGGCCCAGAAAAAGGAGATTGTTGACAGAGAATGTAAGCAGGGGCAGTCAGAATGAGCAAAGTTTGGTCGGTGTGTACCTTTTAGCTCTTTAAGGTAGTCCAGGCAAGAAGTAGAACAATTCTAGCTCTGTCTTTTTAGTAAGGTTACAACCAGCAGAATCTTGCAAAACCTAATGTATTTCTCCCTTCCACTCCTTTTATTCTCCAAAAAATTAGGAAGGGTCCCTTCTGAAATGCTCCTTATGCCTCCTCTCTTTCTGTGGGCTGAGATATCTTTTATAGTTGTCCCATCTATGGCTCTTCCTCCCATCTCCCAAGGCCATTCTTACATACCATTACAGCACCAGAACTGGAATCTGTGGTTGTCTTTTTTCTCTTTTTAACCATTTTCCCTTCCACAACAGTGCTGCCAGCCTGGCCAATAGTAAAGGGGCTGGTGTTCTCTGAAGCATGTGATCCCAGAATTATTAAAAAAAATTGAGGTAGAAAATGTGTGGGACTCTGTATTTCCCAAAGAGTTTTTCTTATTTTGATGGTGTGTTTCCAGAACTATTGATAAGGAAGATTTAATTGCAGATTATTGAATCTGTGATGCAAAAATTCAGAACCACTAGATGGCTGAAAAGAGATCAAGAAAATATTGCCACCTACTGCTCATCCTGATTTTGCATCCCAGACCCGGAAGCCCTAATCGTCTAATCAAAGCCACTAAAAGAAATATAATATTTAATTTATAATTTAATTACAATTAAAAATCTGCCAACCAATTAATTTTTTAGACTTTGAAATGGCTTAATTTATCTAATTGATTAATAGGTGAGACACTGTTAGATTTCTAGCGGTCTTAGTCTACAACCGCCAATACAGTTCTTGGCTGCAGAAAACTAATTGAAGAATGCTACCTATTTATTTTAATACTTTATGAGCAGACTGCTTTACATAGGAGGTGAAGAACTATAATTTACAACTAATAGTGCATATTTCAAAGTCTCCCTGATTTGCCTCTCTCTATCCTGGATTGCATGACCAAATAACAAACAGTTAGCTCCACTGAATGTAACTATCCCTATAAGGCTGGCTATCAACCTACAATATGAAATGTTTTTCTTCCCCTAGAGCCATCCTGTGTGCATTATTTTCAATTCTCTCAATTCTGCACTGCTTATTGTCTATCCATGTGACACAGCAATGTCCTTGTGGACTGAAGAGAGCTATCCATCAAAGGGACAAAATTTACAAATGACAAGATAAATGCATCTTGAACAAACAAGGAAAAGGTTTGTAGTGACTCACAGTATGGCTTTGTAATACTTCTGGAATTGTGCAATGCACCGATGGTCCTTCTATACATTAAGCGTCTAAATAAAAAACAAGATTTACATTCAGAGATAGGGGAGTATGCAAGAAAACACTAAGAACTTTTTAAACAACAACAGAAAAATAGCTTTCATCCAGACTCCACCGGAATAAAAGAGCTTAAGTCCTGAATCATAGATTGGCTGGTTCATCCATAAAGCTATGTCACTGAACAGCTACCGTGGTTTGGTCTGCACATAATGCTAGGCCTTAACAGGTAGATTCACATATCATGCTAATTTAAGGAGAAAGAAAGTAGATTTTGATTTAAGATAATTTGTGCTATTCATTTAATCTCTTTTTAAAAAATAAATATTTATTTTGTGGCGGAAACACTGAATCCAAATTGTGTCCCTGAGCCTAACAGAGGGATTGCATTGGACTCCACACATACTGGTTATTCTTTGCTCTAAAGCAGCTATTAGTTGCAAGCAAACCCTTTGGAAGCAAAAAGCAAAGGAGAAGGAGTTTTGAAACAGACACAGGACGCAGTCCAGATGAGGCACATGTGCTGTATCATTGGCAGTTTAAGCTTGTTTTTTTAGAAATCTAACACAAGATTTCATTCTGAAGTCCCACTGAACTAAGCTCAAGTAACTTAATAGGGCTCCATGCTAATGTTATTTTTCTATGGATAGGTGAAAAAGAAAAGTCTGAATTATGCAGACGTGAGCCTTCCTGCAAAGAAAGCCCAGAGTATTCTTCATTGAGAAGCAATTTGGAGTAACAAATCAAGTGCATATTCTTCCATGCAGACTTCTTGACTTTTCTTCTTTGGGAAAAAGCAGGCAGTCAAGTTGCATCAAAATATTAAATGCTATCAACCCTTCGGAAACTATTCGACATGTATATCTATGAACTATTTGACATGTAAATCAGTCATCCAGGTCATGGTTGTCCCAAAGGTGCTTTTTTTCAAAAGGGAACTGAACTTAAGTTTTTTCCTTGAAGATGGAAGAAGCTTCTTCAGTTTTGAGGGGGAGAAAACACCTTTGGGACATTCGGCATGAATGGTTGGACACATATGGCTCTTCAAGTCCTCCACCACCCTTGAAGACAAAGACATTCTCCAACCATTTTCAAAGACAGAATTTCTCCTCAACAGTGAAAAAAGAATTGTGACTGAACACACACCCCTGGAAGAATTATTTCCTGGGGCTTTAATTGAAGTCTTGGAAACCAAGAAGGCAGCAGATTACTGGACAGCTGGGCTATATAAATTTCACAAATAACTTGGAAAAGGTTCCTTCAGAGCAGGCAGAAACATAAATACAGCACTTATTTGCAATTTTTAAAAGCAGAATAAGATACATTTGTTGGACTATGTACACACAACTGTTTCTAAATAGATTGCAAGCAAGGCAAGGTTTTTAATTGTACCCATTCAGGGTTTTTTTCCAAGGGGCTGTACGATAGTTGGTTCTTCAGCCATTTTCTATGGCAGAGAAGGAATCTCTTGCTCTGCAAAGTGTTCGGTCTCCAAAGGAACTTTTCCAAATTATTCATGAAGTGCTGTACAAACCTACCAGATGGAGGACTGTACCTGAAAGGGCTATAGAGGATATTCGCAAGGGACTTTTGTTTAACTTGTAACTAAATAAATACAAAAGGACCATACCTCACTCATGAAAACTTACTTGAAATACTTTTATCTGCATTTCCAACACTGATTATTTCTACTCAGACTGAGTATGAAATATTCAGGAAAATATACTGCTTGAAACTAGTTTAACCCTTCAGTCAGTTTTCTGATACTGTTTTGGGGGTCTAAAAGTGAGCTGGGTTTGGCTGACTCTACTAGTCTGAATTCAACTCACTGACAACTGTCCTTGGTGCTGCTTCGTTTCCTGAACACTCAACCCATCTTCACAATCTCTTTTAGAACAAAGACATATAGGTGGTTCTTGATTTATGATTGTAATTGAGCCAGAAATTATGGTCGTAAGTCATGGTAGTTGTCAAGTAGGTCATCACATGACCACACCCAATTTTATGCCCTTTTTTTGCAGCAGTCATGAAGTGAACGCTATGGTCATTAAGCAAACAGGATGTCATTTAGCAAATCCATTTTATCCAATGGACATTTTTTGCTGGAAACTAGAAGTAAAACACAGAAATCAACAACAACCCAAAAAACCCACCAAAAATCATTATTCTGTGACTGCGGGATGCTGCAAACTGCCATAAATGCAAACCAGTTGTCAAGTGCCCAAAATCTGATCATATGACGATGGGGGAGAGGTACAGCCATTGAAACTCTGGAACCAGGTCACCAAAACCTTTGAGGAAGGTGGATCATAATTCTGAATGGTCACTAAGCAACCAGTCATTAAGTGAGGACTAGCTGTAAGCAAGTCTGAAAAGACAGGTCACTATATAAGATTCAAGCTGGTCAGATCTAAGTAATACACTCATCCTGCATTTCATTGTTTAAGAAATCTGAGTGGGAGTTAAGGTGCAGGTGGCTATTCTTAATGGCTCATACAAAAGGAGGAGGGGAAGGAAATATTGCTTCCTTTCTCCCCTCTCTTGGTAAACCTGTGTATGTGACTGTCTATAAAAAGGACAAAGATCTTAAAGAAATGTTTGCTACTGCCCCCACAAGTTTTATTACTACCAAGTTGCTGCAGGTGGAGGGAGGGGGGGAGCCATTCAAAGATGAACATTCAAAGGAAATGGTGTGATTAATAGTGGAAGTCAGCCAGTTGGCAATATGCAGAACATTCATTTCTATTACCATTGATCTGTTCCCTCCTTAATAACGAAAATCAATTTTTAAGAAAAGAAAAATTCCAAGTGACAAGTTGCATTTTGCTTTTCAGAGAAGATAAAATTGCTTGTTAGTCCATTGCAGTTGCAGAGAGTTAAGATGGGAGGAAAGTTGATAAACATTAAAAGAAGTGTTAAATTTGCCATTTGAAAGCTAAACTCAAAAAAACCTGCAGCTATGTTTTATGCTGAGTGAAGCATAAAATATTGTTTTATATTTGACAAGCTCTTTCCCCCATTGTACCATAATGAAGTATTAGCATGTCTAATCCAGAGTAATCTCTGGCTCAATGGCCTCAAAGATGCCACACAAGGACCAGGGAGATGATCAAAATATTTCATGTTGAGCCATTAGAAACCATAGTCAGTTACATCACCTCAGTATAGCTACTTTCTCCTCAAATCTAGAAACCAAAAATTATTTTAAGTTTGTTAGAAATGCTAGTCTGCAATCAAACATTGTTTTATGCCAGACCTGGCCCAAAATATATTGTGGTTTAGGCTAAGAAGCCATCTGCACTCTAAGTTCTGAGTGTAGAAAACAGGATGGCAGTTGAATATTACTTCAACTCTGATCAACAACCTAAATAGACAGTCCAGGATACATAATTATCCTCAAAGAAAGAGAAATGGTTGGAGAGTTTAGAAGAAAAAGTTTAAAACTGCCCTACTCTTTGTCATCACCACTCTGCCTAAAAATAAAGTCAACTATGGCTTGTGCAAATCCTTAATTGCTACATTGGGGAGAAAATAAAAACTACAGCTAGCAGCTGCAAGAAACGCAAATTCCTTCCTTCCTTTTTATCCCCTAAAGGAAGGAAGAATGTACAAGTCCAACAAAATTCACAAGGTGCCCTCATAAAAAGAAAACATGATCTGCTTTACTTCAAACTGAGACACAGCTTTGTTCACTGTATTAGTAACCAGGTCTTGCACCTCAAGCCATTGCTCTTCCCAACTCACCTTTCTTGGAACTGCTTAGAAGGAATCAGCCCTGCTCGAAGATTTGTGTCACCCACACGTTTGGCCTGCCACCATGTTGGGTCATCTTGGCTAACCACTTCCAAGATGTGCCTTCTCTGAAAAGGCAGCCCTGCCTCCTGACATGGGATAGCTTTATCCTCTTTTGGATTGTAGGAGAAAAAGGCTCTCATGAACACCTAACAGATGAAAGAAAGATCATCGTGACCATGATTACAGTTTTCCTAGAATTTTATGCAGATGGAAAAATGCTTCAGAAATTTATATGGATTGCTTTCCGAACTCATGGCATGGAGAACTGTAGGGATAGGGAAACAAATCCACAAATACAAGGATGAAAAAAAGAATGATATTCAAAGTGGAGCAGAGTAAAAGATATATATGCAAATATGACTAAGACAAACTGTTCCTTCCTCAATCACCACCCCCATTCACAGATTTATGTAGATAGTTCAGTAATTTTGAGTAGATCTGGAGAACAGCTTCATCCTGTCTCCCTAATCCCCACTCTTTTACACTTTTTAGAAAAACAAGATTTGAGTGGTGGCACACTGAAAAAAAATCCTATCACCTATAAAACCAATTAGCTAGCTAATTTATTACTAGCTTTATTCCAGGCCCATTCTTGAAAAAGATGGAGGGGGGAATAAATGGTAGCTGGTGTTCTGCTGGTATAGATGGATGGATGGATGGATGGATGGATGGAGGGTGGGAGAGAGAGAGAGAGAGAGAGAGAGAGAGAGAGAGAGAGAGAGAGAGAGGGAGAGGGATGATAGATAGATAGATAGATAGATAGATAGATAGATAGATAGATAGATAGATAGATAGATAGATAGATAGATAGATAGATAGATAGATAGATAGACTGCCATTGCTGTTGACACTTTTTAAACTCTAAGAAGAAAGAGAAAAAAGGGGAAGAAAAAACTGTCACTGCCACTATGGTTAACATCTCCTCACAACACTTCGATTCCTCCCAGAGTCCAGAAATCATTTGAATTGCCTCAAATTCCTACTAATCCAAATTGTGTCATTTCCACTGCATTTTTTAAATTTGCACTGGAAGGGAAAATTAGTTTTAAAACAGTTAGATTACCATGATGTATTCATGCAAAATGCAGTTCCCAGGGCATTAAAACTAAATAACAGAATAACAGAGTTGGAAGGGACCTTGGAGGCCTTCTAGTCCACCCCCCTGTTCAGGCAGGAGACTGTATACGATTTCAGACAAATGGTTGTCCAATTTCTTGGACAGCCTCCAATGCTGAAGCACTCACAACTTCTGGAGGCAACTATTTGAAACCAAATTGTTTAGAGTACTGCAAAATGCACCTCTAGTCTGAAAACACAAAAAAATTTCCCCAGAGAGAAGGCAGATCTCAGTATGTTTAGCAAGTTGGGAATACTGTTCAATTAAGTATGAACATGCAAATGATTCCTGCTCCACCTTCAAATATATTTTACTAAAGCAAGTTTTTTTTTCAAACTTAGCATCTTTAAGATTTGTGGAATTTTAAGATTTTATGAATTGATTGTGATTAATGATTTTGTAATTGTAAGATTTGTGAATTTCCCAGAATTTTTCAGGCAGCATGCTGGAAGTTGAAGTCCACACATATGAAAGTTGGCAAGTTTGAAAAACACTGAACTAAAGGTTCCAGGATAGCCTAATCTGCCATTCCTATATTTGACAACCCCCACAATTCCCTGCCAACTTGGACAAAAGCTATGGAGGCTAAGAAGTCTAAGAGTTGCAGTTTCCATATACGTGGGAAATACCAGGCTACCCAATCCCTTTAAACATGCTTAGTACAGGAACACATGTTTAGAATATCTACCGTAGGTAAGATTGTAATGTTTTCACGTGTTAACAGGCTCTCTTACCTTGCTATCCTTCAGACGATCTTCTTCTTTGATGCCTGGAATAATTTTTAGTGTTATTGATCCCTGGGATTGAACCTGTAAGAAAAACAACTCTGTTTTTCTGTCTTTACAAAATCACATTACATCTGCAAAAATCACTGAGATCTACCTGTCTCTTGATGCACAGTATTCCAGGTATCAATTGCACGCTGAGTGAGACCAAATAGCTTAATAAACATTTAGTCCCATTGGTATTGGTTCTCCAAAGTAGTTTTTCTTTTCCAGCCCTACCTAGAAATTCTGGGGACTACATCTAGGACACTGCATGCAAATTAACTTACTCAACCCCAGAAAGTTTAATATATATTTGGATTTCTAAAACTCTTTTGGCTTTGTACAGTGAGTAGACCAACCTGGAGGAGGTTAAAAACATTCCTCTGGGTGGATGTCTTTTCTAAGCAGCAAAAGACTTATACAAAACAAACTGAATGCTCTCAGTTGCTACTTACAGACATTGCTCTTAAGTGGAATGACAAAAATAAATCAAAGTTTTAGATCCAACGTGATTAGTTCAGCTTCTAGGCTAATTAAGAGGTATATTGGGCCACATAACTCAACTCTGTTCTGAAGGTTAGTATTAAAATGAAACCCTTAATTCTGCATAAGATTCCCCAAATGTTCTTAGAAAAAAGAAATTTACTAATTTATTTTCTTAGAGCAACTATTTATATACTCCACTCTTAGTCTGGAAAGGTTCCAGAGATCAATAAGAAGATACCATCCCTTCCCTGATGTTTTAAATCTAAAATGCATGGAACCAATGGAAAGTTGGCTGGGGAGGGGAAAAACAGGTTTTGTCTAAATTTTTACCAATTTGAGGAGACCATTTTAATTTAGGAACTTCAAAAACTAATTTTTAATTCAATAATATAATTTGATTTGGTTTCAAATTATTTTCTGCTCTTAAAGTTTGCCACAACGAACATTATGAATACATTTGGGTCTTCCCCCCCCCCTTTTTTTTGTCGTCTTCTGCCTAATATGAATCTCAAGCATTGGCAATTTTTCTCTACAATTTGTAGCCTGCAATTCTCTTCTTTTTGTAAAACAGAGCTTTTACATATAAAAGGTCCGAGATTCAATACCCAGCATACATAGGCACGGCTGGTAAAGATTCTTTTCTTGGAGAAAAAAAACTGCAATCAAGTCAATGTGTGGCAGTCTTAATGCAATGGTTACCTACATAATTCTGCATAATGTAAACTTTAGACTGTAGAAAACAGAAATTGAAAAATCTTACTATTTTTGCTTGCATAAAACTGCACATCTATGGTTACCTGGAAGAAATCAAATTGAATGTTCTGGGACTTATCTCTGAATAAACGCATTTATGATTACACTGTGTTGCACATTTTCAGCACACACGGATGCTGATGCATTAGTAGACGATCAAGTATGTCCTTGGTCAAGCAAAGAGTGTTTGATATTGACTGGGCCATTATTTATTAGATTTTTTTTATTAACTCAAGGCAGTATACATACTTCATGTTCCTGCTTCCTATTTTCCCCACAACAACCCTGTGAGGTGGGTTGAACTGAAAGCCAGTGACTGGCACAGTCACCCAGCCAATCTAGGGGTGACTAGAGCTTTCCCAGTTTCTAACCCAGCAATTAGCCACTAGACCAGGGATAGGCAACCTTGGCTCTTTTATGATTCCTGGACTTCAACTCCCAGAATTCCTGAGCCAGCATGGCTCACCTTGGAAACCTCTCCCTTTCCCTTCAGCATGGCTGGATCAGGAATTCTGGGAGTTGAAGTCCACGAGTCATAAAAGAGTCAAGGTTGCCTACCCCTGTATTAGACCAAACTGACTTTAATCTGTCACTACTTTCTACTTGAAGGAAAAAAATAAAGAGACATTTTTCTAATCTGGGTTGAAAAGAGACTACGTTTGCAGAGAAACCCAAATTAGAGGTCAGCTATTCTAGGAATCGCCCTGCACGTAAGCAGGAAATGTGTACATGATTTCTATGAAGCTTCTTTTCCATGAATGGATTACATGGCTGGTTAGAAAATTCAGTTTTTAGTCCAAAACACTGTCCTGAATGAAACAATCTAGCTTTCTCACCAGTACTAAAACATAGTGTTCACAAGATAGGCAAACCCTCTTTTTTAACCCACTAAATATATCCTGGGAAGACAGCCTTTTTTTGTCTTAATGATATTAAAAACCTGACAGAGCAATCACAGAGGGGCAGCAATTATTCAGCAAGGTTTTTTTTTTCAATCATAATGTGATCACAACCTGCAAATATGAACAGAAAATATGCAAATTAATCCCATGGGATTTGCATTATTTATCCATGTCTTATAAATACACTATTCAGAACATTAGCAAATAATCATTTTTCCCTTGTTCTCTTATGCTGGGACATTTTGGAAGAAACTGAATACCTGCTTATTAGAAGAATCATACCTGCCTTGTCTGCTGCAAATCCTGTATCAAGTAGAAGATGAGAATTTGTGCCATCCAAAGTGCCATTCAGCTATGTCTGAGCTCACACATGTGTTAAATAAGCTCCATTTGTATAATATATATGGAAAGCTTGGTTAATCTTGCTTAGTTTTGAGGAAAGGACTGGCTCAGCATATAGTATAAATTACTGTAAACCCTTTGGATTAGTTTATAATTCAACAGTTCAATGTACTGCACAAAATATTGTGCAAGCCCAGACAATCTAGTATCCTACATTATTATTGTTGTTGTTGTTGTTGTTGTTGTTGTTATGGTTCATTGCACAGTCAGCCAGATGTTCAGACTGGATTTGGCATTTTTTGTCTACCTATCAAATCCTTTCCAAGGACCTGGGATATACAGATGGAGATGTTTTATGGTGTTACAGATATCGTCACAGGATGTAAGCTATTGTGAGTAAAGTTGCCTTTTGCAATTGACTGATGGTAAATGCCGATAGTGTTCAACTGGTGCTTGAATAGTTTTGGGATTACACCCAAGGCATCTATTACTGTTGGTACTACTTTTGCTTTCTTGTTAGATTTTTATTTTACCTTTTTAATATATAGCAATGAACATAATGAATATACATAGTCTTTGACTTACAGTTCCTGACTTATGCTTGGCAACCATTTGAAGTTATGGCAGATACTAAAAAGGGAAGTTTCAACCCAGATGCGAAGTTCCAGTGTCTGCCCCCCCCCCAGGCACAAGGTCACATTTTGGGCAACTGAACACCTTTGCAGCGATTTCCCACATCCCACAATCATATGATTACAATGTATGATTGTTTTGCTGGAAGCCAACATTTATTTCTAATTTCCAGTTAGTCCATTGCACACAATGGGGTTTGCTTCATGATAATGGATTTGCTCAATGACTATGGTGATTCGCTTAACAACCACTGCAAAAAATATGTCATAAAATCAGGTTGGTCATATGATGACCATGATTTATGACCATAAGCCCGTGTCAACCACCCTGTGTGGTGAGCTAAGCTGTCAGTGAGTGACTAGCCCAAAGTCACCCAGCTGGCTTTCATGCCTAAGGTGAGACTAGAACTCAGAATCTCCAATTATAGTTTGTTATTTATGAGTTGCCTTTAATTGTACATTCTGTGCTGGATCACATGTTGAGCAGGATACATACACAGTGAATTAATACTTAAGGTATTAAAATGGGTAACTGAATAATAAGGTTAAACATGTTACATGAATCTAAAGATTTCAGGTTAGGGTCATTCTAATTTGTCTATTCTAAAAGGAAATTACACCATTTCACACACTGATTTTCTCCTGTTTGGCTATAAAAAAATGTCCAAATGAAAGTGGCAGTTTGCACACAGAATCCTTTAATGCTAAACAGACAGACACTTTCACAGGCAGCAAAAGACGGTTTCTTTGTAGTCCCAAAACCCTCAACGACAAAGCTTAAATTCTTTTCCAGCAACTGCATTGTAAATCTTGACAGATCTGGATTCCTCTGTTGCATAAGCTTCTACAGTCAAGGCAGAAAATGGGGACAACATCTCTTCCTTATGAATGACTGGTATTCATTACCTACAATGTTTGTCACATGGATGGGCTAGTCACAAAAGCTCTGGATTCCTAGTTTCCAAATGAAGTTAAAAAAAAAGTGAAGGATGCTTCCCTTCTATCTCATTTTTACTATTCAGTAAATATAAGAGGACCTGTGTCTTCTCCTAAGCATGCAGATTACTGATGTGATAATAACAAATACATAGACTGAGGGCATGTCACATCACAGGTGGCCCTAAAATTATAACCCTTCTTTAATGACTGTTCAAAGTTATAACAGCACTGAAAAAGGTGACTTACAACCAGTGCTTACATTTACATCTGCTGCAGCATCACAATTGCCACATGATTCAGGTGCCTGGCATCTAGCATGTATTTACAACAGCTGCAGTGTCCTGGGGTCAGATGATCATTATTTACAGCTGTCCCAACCGATTTCCAATAAGCAAAATCAATGCGTAAAGCCAGATTCACCTAAAACTGCATGATTCACTTCATAATGGTAGCAATAAAGCTCATGGTATCAGGCACAACGTACTTAGCAACTGCCTTGCTTAGAAATGAAAATTCCTCTCTCAACTGTTGTTGTAAGTCGAGGACTATCTGTACAGAATAGGATTTTGTTTTGAGCAACTATTGAATTATTTTTTCTTTAAATGTATAATGCACTCTTATGCATGTATACGAAGATAGAAGCCCCACTGAATTCAACCAAGATTTACCCCAGCACATTCCATAGCAAGAATGGGGGATATTTTAAGGTCATATTTCCTGCTTTGGGTGGAAGAGGGTGGGATTTCTCAGGCAAAAGTGGGCAATAATTAGTTCTAGAACTAACGCCTAATGAAGCGTCTACAACATCAGAATCGAGAACTGTCAAGATTGACAATGCAATCAGTTGAAAATATTTTAAGCTTTGACAAGGAGCTCAGCCTCAGTAAGGAATCCTGTGATTTACTATTCAATAACGCCAGGAGGGTCACAGGTTTCCCACCCCTATTCTCAGGGACATATATTAGCAACGGGTAGAACTGGGTATCAAACTGAGTAGGACAAAAGACCGAAATGGGTAAGGCTGCTCCTTTACCATTCTCTTTTTCCTGATCCTTCAGTCTTCCCCCTCCCACTCCTTTTCTCTCTCCCACACAAATACACTCAGCTTTGCTAATGCAGCTGCCAATTTCTTTAAGGTGCTGTAAATTGGACCCCTCCTTAAATTCTTTTCAAAAGGCTCACAGAACATTCTCTTGTTCTAGTCCCCAGGAAAAAAAAAACATTAAATCACAGGTATCTTTGAATTTATTCCCTAGACAGGAACTGTTAAACCCTACAATGTTTTCTTTCTGTAGAAAGAACTGGGTGCAAATTTAAAACCATAGTCTAGCGGTCACCAAAGAGGTTTCTACATCTGTATTGTCAACAAGTCAGTTGTCCACATTTTTTTCAGTTCAACTCTGACCAACCAATTCCATTGGCTATAGGGTTATTTTAACATTAACGAATCAGCAGAGAAACAGTTTAATTTTAAGCGCAGCTACATAAAATCAAATGCAACACAATTTTCACAGCCATTTTCCACAATATATTCCCCTCCAGAAGTAAACTCAGCTCCTAGAATCCCTACCAACATAGCCAAGGCAATAGCTGAGAATTTGGGGAATTATAATTTCAACAAATGAAAGTGAAATCTTTTCCCCCAAACTAAAACGTAACTGTGCAATCATGCATGTGTCTCCTCCAAAATATTGTAACTTTTATTACTTATTACTAAAAAGATGTTTTAAGAATTTTGAAGTGGATTTCTGCTTCTGAATCTAATATATGCATGAAAGGTACTTTGTGTCCTCAATTCTACACCATCCCTAGCATCATAACAGTTGTTTATTTGGAAAACAGAGTAAACTTTTGTACTAGCATGTTAAAATGTGTACATTACTGTAAAAGGCATACAAACATCAAAGAATCTTCATGTAGTTTTTTTTCTAAAATAAACAGATTTCTGCATAAGCAGGACAGAATGAACAGACAAATAAGCATATGCAATATAGGCAAGAACCGAAAATAATCAGCTTATTACAGCTTTACTCCCACATAAGTAGGAGAAAGCCATTCTCTGATGGTAGCCTTATAAATTGCCCAAACCAATTTTTTAACAAATATTATTTTAAAATATACTGAAACTCAATTCTAGTTATTAAAAAAGTAGGATTGTACTCTCTTGGCTGTGTCCTTAAATCCAGGCTTAAAATTAAATGTCAGATTTTTAGTGATAGCCAGCAAAACATTTTCACAGCTAAGATGAAAAAAGGGTCAGTTGTACTCATTCCTAAATGTTCAGGAATGACCCAGAGGCATTGAATTTCCTCAACTCTATGGCAATTATTAACCCTAATCCTACTAGCATATAATTCAAGTACACTTGGCATGAAAGGAGACAGGCATACTTTCCCTCCACCCACTTGATTGGATTTGACTTTATTTTGAAATGAAAAATGTAGGCACTTTGAAATCTCACCTTAATTGCAGTAGGTTGGAGGTGTGTGTGATGGTGGAGAGGAATCTAATACTTGTTTGCATGTCTTATTCAGAACAACCTTATTGGTTAAAGAGACCGAATTGGTCTTAGTCCAAGTAGTTATGTTGACTTTATCTTGCCCAGCATTAAATACTCTGATTCCATGGACCTGTTCATATAGTACTTAATCAGATCAGTTACATACCTACCAGCTACATTTACACAAGATGATAATCTTGGTTATTTTTAACCTTGGTTATGGGGGGAGGGTTGTATTCATGTGGTTTATCAAGTTGTTCAATTTATTGTAAATCTGTTTGGTTAATTTATGATCAGCTTACTGAGTGAAATAGGGAAATTGGTTGATTCCATAACCCACTTAATAGTATCTGGGCAGCCATATTCACTGAGCCTTCTGAATCCCTTTTAATGGGAATCCTAAAGATTTCAAGCCTATAATTAGATGGAGATGCCAGGAGTTGAACTTGAAATTCTTGGCTAGCAAGTTCTCTGTTCCTCCATCAAATTAAGGAACTTCCATTAATTCTTCCAAGAAATTGCAAGACAATACAGTCCCAGCACAGACGCCCACACTTAATTGCAGAACACATTGGCTCAAGGAAAAACACTCCTTCATGACCCTCTTTAGAACATCCTGCTTTTCATTGTGATGACAATGGAGGAATTAATGATATTTGCTGTTTTTTCCCTTATTTCCTTTAAAAAGAAAGGAAAGCAGTGCTGATGATTCAGGTGCCCTTGGTGACTCTATATTCTTGCCCGCCCACTACTGCAATTCTTACTTAATTTGGAAGAGACCTTGAGAATGTCATTGGCTATTGCAATAGCTATGTGTATCTTATTTTGAGCTCCTTTGTGTAGGAGTCACCAAGTATGTCATTTCCTCTCTGGCATGGAAGAGGTATGGCTTGTGACTCCACAATTAAAGAAGGGAGAGAGTAAATAGATCTCAACACTACTAGGATGACTGCAGCTATAAGACTCTTTTGGAGAACACAAAAATAAGTTATGGACAAAGTCAGTGGCTATTTGGCATTTACTTTCTTACTAATCTGTTGGTGGATTAACCCATAATCAATTATGTTCACTTTGGAGGAATGCCAGGCATTGTCATATGTTGTGAATATGCCATATTCACAACTATGTACCCAAAGAGACTTTTTTCACTGCAGTCTACTAGATGTTTTGTCCTTTCAGTTTTCATATAATTAAATAAAATTGAATGAGAAGCAGAGGTCCAACATTTTCTTTATTTTCTAGACTGTTTCTGAATTCCAAAACTACCTTATATGGCAATGGTATTATCAATACTTTATCCAGTAAAGAAAGACTACTAAATTTAGGATATAGATAGCCTCCTAGAAGTTACTATACTGTACTCGGGCACAAACATTTGAACAATCATCATTTGATAGCAAAAAAAATTGTCTACAACTTTTTTGCGGTTATCCAGAACTACCTACAGTATGTAGTAGTTCTAGATAAATGTTAATGGCTGAGATAAAACCAGATCCATGATGCAAAATCCTGCAAAACTACTAAATGGCAATAGAGACACACTGAGAAAAGGTGAATTCTCTACTCCCATCTGCTGGTTATCAATGTTTCTGCAGGCAAGATGTGGAAGCTCTAGATCAGGGATGTCAAACTGCCGGCAAACGGGCAGGATGTGTCATGGCGAAACCGCGCTCACCCCATTGCCGGCAATGGAAAAAAAGTCATGATATGTCATGACACATCATGTGTCGTTGAGAGTTTGACACCCCTGCTCTAGATGGAAAGCTCTCTCATTTGTATCACTTTGGGTAAATGTATGGCTTGTGCCTGACTGGACTCACCTTGGCAGTCATTTTCTGAGAGCACTTATCACATAATCTTAAAATTACAAAACTACCCACCAGGCCCCCACATTCCTATCCCTAACAAGAATATTTTTTTTTCTTTAGAAGCATTTGAAACCTATTGGTGAAACTTACATCAAGACAAGAGTATTTGTCTGTGTATCCCAACATTGCCTACTCTTACTAACAATCTTCTCCAACATTTCAAGTGGAATATGTTTTTGGGATTCATTGATTCTTCATCTTTTTAAATTGGCAATATGGAAATCATAACTTGTATATCTGGATTATGTATATGCGTACACAATCCAAATATTCATTATTGCAGCAGGCATCCTGTGGGTGAATAAGAGACAAAGAAAGAAATGTCTACTAGCAGCAGCTTTTATAAGCAGAATCAGAGTGGGAAGATACCATATAAATCACCTAAACCAGGGGTAAGCAACCTTGGCTCTTTTATGACTTGTGGACTTCAATTCCTAGAATTCCTGAGCCAGCCATGCCTATCCCTGACCTAAACCAACCATCTGCTCAGAGCTGGAAACACTAATGTTTCTCAACCTTTAAGAGACATAGACTTCAGCTGGCTGAACTGGCTGGTGAATTCTGGGAGTTGAAGTCCATATAGCTTAAATTTGCCAAGGTTGAGAAACTTTGTACTAGAGAATCACTGAAAGATGCTCATCCAGTCTCTTTTTGAAGACCTCAAACAAAGGAGGACTTGTAGTAAATCAATAGTCTTCCTTTAGAAATACACTGCCCAAATAATCATGTCATCTTCTTACTTAGTTGATAATTCAACTATTTCTCAACTATGTGGAGAAATAATTTTACTTATCAGAATCTATTCAAACATAAGTCCCAAGGAATCAAAAAGTATTTATTTTCAGGCAAATTTGTATGTAACTGCAGTCTTAAGCAAGCTGCCATTACCAATTTGCCCATGATTAATTGTAGCTTATATTTTCTGAGTTCACGTGACCCATTGAACTATAATGTAACCACAGTGTCCAGATTTATGCCCAGTATATTAGCTAAAATCCAGTTGGCAATTTATGGTTTAGTGTGTCTTGTGAATAATACTTATGTGTAGAAAAGGCAAAACAAACCAGAATCTGGCTAATTTCTTCTGGTCGTTTATGAAGTACAGCAATTCCATTAACTTCCCGCAGCTCATCTCCAACATGGACAAGACCTAGGAACAAGAAAAATATGAGGTCAACCATCTATTTTAGATAGCAAAAGCTCCATACAGTATATGTGGCATGTAGCAAATCTGATGACTCATAATAGAAAAGTAAGTCCCATCCCAAGTAAGAAAATGTCACCCAAAGCCTATTTACAAGCCTGGGACCAGAAGCAACAGAAATTAATCCTTAATCATCTGTAAAGCTCACCAAATGATTTTAAAACAGTAATTCTCCCATATTTGCATGTTATTCTGAGGAGAAAAGTGCTTGGTGAAAAGATGGGATGGTCTTGAGCAGAAGCCAGCAACCATATGTGTCTCCAGTTCTGACAGTTCCAGGAAGCCTAGGATCAAGAGCCACCAGAAATTGGCAGCAAAATGGAGATTTGTAGACATAATCTCTCCCAACCTTATCCTGTTCTGGCAGCAGCTACCTGCACTGAGCCCATAGCAGAATGTCATACGTATTTGTTTGTTTGTTTTTAAATCTGAACTAAAAAATTTAAAATACAGTTTGCCACCAAGTAACATTGATTGCAGTCCCCCAAAATAATTGAAAAAACAACAACAATCCTCTCCTGCTTTAGAACAGGGGTCTCCAACACCTGGACCATGGACCGGCATCTGGCCGTGGCATGCCAGCAATCAGGCTGCGCAAACATGCGAAGGATGCAGGCAGCATGCGAAACCACGCCCCCTCTGGTCCACAGAAAAAACTCTCTCCATGGAACCAGTCCCTGGTGCCCAAAAGGTTGGGGGGCGCTGCTTATATAATAGGTTCCTTGTTCCTAATTATTAATTCCTAGTTACTGAGTTTGCTTCTCCACTGCACAATGTGAAAAGAAAATATGTCTTGATTTTCTGTCTCTGGACTACATCCCTATAATCTGGCCTTGCTGGCTAATCCTGATGGGTGGCAGAGTCCAAGAGCATCTGGGGAACCACAGCTTCTACAGCTTTGAATGCAGTTATGAAAGATGAATCATTTTTCACCATTCCATCATTTTCTTTTTCTATCTAATGTAGATTTAGTTAAAATATTAATATGTCTTTTATAGCTCAAAGGAAGTTTGCAGCTCCTTTTATCAAAAATTGAAATTGTTTTACTGTACTTACTCAGTCCTTGGCTAAATTTTCAAACAGTTTAGAGACAATAATACTCATCATCTCTCTCAGCTTTCACTAGAAAGCTTTGTTTCACTCAGTTTCATTCAGCTTTGTTTCACAAAGCACGGAAAGTGTTGCTCTGGTAACCTCCAAGAAATAATAATAATAATAATAATCTTTGGGAAACCCACACAATTCTGGGTACTCCTATGGTAATAATTCATAAGGAAGGAATCACAGGACCTTTCAGAATTATATTCTTTATAACCTACAACTTCAACTTGAATTCTGCAGGCTACCAAAAATACACCCTTTCCATCCTTGGATCCAAGTACATCTGCTAGAAGTGAACTTGACAGGCATTACTTGTGCTGGCAAATCAATCTTGATATAATTCAGGAATAGGAAACATAAATAAAGGTGTTATTCTTCCAATACAAAAATGTCCAGGATTTCCAGCATTAGTGCTATGATCCACCTGACTTTGCAGAAGAGAATCAAAGTCTCATGTGTTTTTCAGGAAAAATAAAAATAAAAATCCTAAGTGGACTCAGAGAAAGCTTGTCTTCTCTCGTGTGAAATTAAAAAAGGAATTCCGCAATTTAGGGAAACATACCACTGCGATCAGCTGCCCCTCCCCTCATGATGCGGGCAACAATTACAGCCCCTGTGTGCTCATCCCTCCTGATTGTTGCACCCTAAAGGAGAAACAAAAGACCCATCAGCGCACAGTTCTAGCCTGGCACATCAGAATAGGCTTGGTCAATTAAGCCTAAAAGAAAAACCTCATAACATATAGTGGTCAAATACAAGCTGGGGAGAACCTAGAGCAAGATATGAAAACAATACTCTCGTCTCGCTTTTTGATCGCACTCAGCAATTAATATTCATTATGACATGGCCTCTGGAAATTCTATGTAGCTGTCATGATTAATAGCTATGGCTAGTTCTATCCTCTGTGAATTTAACCAGGTCCACTTTAATACAACCTAAACCAAGATTAATAGAAGTGATTCTATTAATTATAAGATGCATGAAGAAATGTTTTCTTTGATCTGTCCTGCTACATCTGCTGCAATTCCAGCTGATTCCCCAAGTACTTCCTCTTGTTAATAACAGCATTGTTTATTAACAGGAATATTACACTTTTTCATTTTTTCAGGATAAAAGTCCTCACAAGGTTAATAATCATATTATAACAATATTCAATACACCATTCATTGAAATAGAATAAATAAAATATCAACAGCAGATAAAAGCACTGTACTCTAAAATGAACCAGTTCAAGCTGCAATACATAGTTCTAGAAACCTATAAAAAGAGGGCTATAAACAATTCCCAAATCAGGACATTCCTGGAGATCCTGGTATTCCCTGATGATTCTGCTAGAGACAGAATGAAATTCATTCAGCTCACATTTTTATGCTACATATAGACTTACTTAATGACAGCCCTGTTTGGTGACGGTTTGATGGTACAATAGCGCTGGAAAAATAACTTTACAACCAGTCCTCACATTTATGACCATGGTAGCTTCCTCACAGTCACATGATTTGAGATTTGAGCACTTCACAATTGGCAAGCATTTGTGACCATTATAGCATTCCTTGTTCACATAATTGCCATTTGCATACTTCATAAGCTAACCCAATAAGCAGAATCAATGGAGAAGCTGGCATCACGGTCACATGATGTCACACTTAGTGAACGTGTTATTTAACAACAGAGTTACCAGTCCCATTTGTGGTTGCTAGGCAAGGACTACCTGTACTTTGATCATTTCCTAAGTGCCTATCCAATTCCTAAACATAAATACAATTCATGCATTACGTACAGGGAAATTACTTTTATAAATTCTGAAACTGAGTTTGTATCTCAACAATGATATATGCAAATGCATATATAATTATGGGAATACCTATACGATCTAAATTAAATCAGGAATATGGCTGGCGAAACATGTATATGAGACACAGAAAATATGTATATTAACAGAAAAAATGTTCAAGAAAATGTGAATACATTCTTAAATAAATTTAAAATATGGGGAACATGTAGAAATGAGTTCAAATTAAGTTAACATAGGAGAGTAAGAAACTGATATATTTTCTGTTTATTCACATATGAAAGTTGGAGCAAAACTCAGGATTACATACATTGAGCTTAAAGCTCAAATGGACGATTTATCAGATAAGTTCCAAGTATTTAAGGACTTTAAAGTCTAATAAATCTTTACTTACATCTATCTATTAACAGAAAACCAAAACAACTGGTGCTGAAAAAGGAACCAACACAAATTGGTTCACAATTCCCACAATGCCTTGTCATTGCCTATATTGGCCTGGGTTAGCCATAGTTTGGAAATGAGAAGCTACCAGCTTTGGATTCTATAATACCAGAATGAAATCATTAAGGAATCTGATTGGCAGCCAGTTTAGAGCACAAGATTCAAAATACTTCTTCACAGAATAACCATGTTTACACAACATACTAAATCAGATGGTGTTTGGCTTACTGTGCCATCCAAATATGAAAATATGGACATTTTATGGGTAGGACAGAAGCTGTTAATCATGCTGGAAGTAGTCAACACTGCCAAGGAGATTCATCCCTACAGAACCATCTTTACTTCTTCACTCCTTTTCTGTTTTTATCCTCTGGAATCATTTTTATATCTAAAAAATGTCCCATAGTTATTTTAATCCCAACAGCTTTTTGTTCTTACCAGCATCAAGCATACATACCAGAGGTTCTTTATTCTTTACTAGACGAACTATTTTCACTGATTCTTCATCAAAATCATCGTCAATATTATCCAACAATGGAGGGAGAACAGGGTCAAAATTCTTCTGAGCAACAGTATCATGCACAACAAGCATCGCCTTGGGACAAAGGGAGACAGGAAACAGAATAATAAAATAAAAAGACAGGTGAAAACAGAAACACATTAGAGTTTTCTTCAATGCCCCTGTGACTGTGAAGACACTAGAAACAAGACTGCTTCTCCAGTGTCTGTATTACATTTGTGCTAGTCTTATTTCACTATCACAGTAGAAATATCCAGGCTACGCAGGAAAATGTTGTATTTCTCTCTGCTGCTTGCAGATTCTGACCTGTTACAAACATATGTTGCCAGGTTCTGCTCAGCAGCACTATCTCTCAGATTCCTGTGCCTCAAACCAGCCTTAATGTTTCCTTGTATTTATCTAACATTTCTACCCTTGCCTATCGATTTTTTAGACTTTTTAAATATTTTCTAGCCTTTTTTAAATTGTATTTTTTAGGTTTTTTAATTTTGTGAAATTTTTGTTTTAATGTTTTTAGGTGTTTAAAAATTATTGCTTGTATTCCACCTTCATTGTGTTGGTCTATAAAGGGTGGGCAACCTTGGCTCTTTTATGACTCGTGGACTTCAACTCCCAGAATTCTGAGAGTTGAAGTCCACGAGTCATAAAAGAGCCAAGGTTGCCTACCCCTGGTCTATAACCATAATAAAGATTTGATCGATTCATTCATTGGTTGGGTTTCCTCACTTGTTGTTTCCAACAGTTACATTAGGTTCAAAAGAAAAGCCACCATCCAGATGCTTTCTTTTACAGTGGGCTCTGTTTCATCATTGACTCCACTTCAAGCTACTTCAACAAGCTTTCTCAAAACAATAGCGCCCCATTCTCATAATCAATGGTCAACATGACTATTTTTATAGAAGATGAGGGGAACTATAGTCCAACAGGTTTGTAATAAAGGATTAAAGCAGATACCGGTATGTTTATTCTGGGTTGTTATGCCTCCAACTTTTCTGTTCAACATCTGTAACCATGCAGGGCAGCAAATAGGTTTTCACAATAAAACTGGGACTGTTCAATTAAACCCAATATGACAACATAATCCAACCTTTACAAATAGGTAGAGAGCAGCTCTACCTACTTCAAAGCATTTCAAGTAAACTTGTCAGCCCATCATCCAAGACATCATTTTTAAAACTCCTCTTTATTTGCAAAATCTAATCATTACGTAATATAATAATTAAGAAGAAAACTTCCAAAGGCTTTGATTATATAATTATCTTGTCTTAAACACAGAACTTGGGAGGTGGGGAGACATTTCTAGACAATGGTTTGATTCACTTGGAAATTCCTAATGTTTTCCCAGAAATTCTTCCATCTTTGTTTTCACTTGTTAAAAATCAGATGATGGACTAGTTATCTGATGCCTTTAGATCTGGCAGGACAATATTTTTATCAGGTCATTCACCTGATATTCCAACATATTTAATTAAAATATTTGTCACAAATGCCATAAATGATCAAACCCCGTAGGTTTATTTCAAATCCAAACATGAGAAATCCCAGGATTTCTGCAGTCAAAATCAATGATTTAAACATCTAATGCTTCTTAGGAATAATGGGATCTAGACCTCAAGTGTTTATGATATTGCTGCCAGACTGTTATTCCATTAAAGCACAGATATCAGGTATTTTGTTTAGCAATTTGATACTGTGTATACTGTTTTAGATTCAGGAAATTGTTAATAAAGATGCTTATTCCTTTTTCCAAGCCGTTCTCTTGTCTCATCATCTTGTCAGATAAATTTTGTTCTGCAACTATCATTTTATTCAATAACATGTTTTGGACATAATCAGTGCATAGACATTATTATGACATTGTTGATAATCTGGCTATTATTTTCTGACTCCAATTTTCAAAAGTATTTTGAAAACGAGTGTCTTTTACATTTTATAGGCTTGCATATTTTTTCCTCTGCCTAAAATCTTTAGATTCTTTTCGTATCCAACTTTTGCTTATCTCTTATATCTCCATAAACCAAAACAGATCTATTTCCCACAAAAAGCTGCTTATTCTTTATACTTAATTCCAAAGTTTTATTGTAGTTTCAACATTCCAAATTTACTCGGATCTTTATTCCATTTATAATTTCCTACGGTCAAAATCTTATTTGGCTTTTTGCTGTTCATTTCAGGTTTTTTTAAGTTCTTAGCCTTATAATTAATATTCTTCTTGTTCAAATTGAAGAAAAGCTGACCTAATTTTTCAACATTTCAAATTTGTTGTTCCAAAGATCTCTAAAAGCTTTACAATGGTTAACAGATAATTTCTGAAAATGATTGGTGAGGTTTGCAAACTTAGTGTCATTTAAAAAGTTTTGCCCCTATTGCAAGCAATATTGTTGATCCCGTCACCTCCTAGTGCTCAAACCCACAGAAAATGGAAAGCTGCTCCTGCAGTCTTCTTACAAGAAGCGCTGTCCAGATCACATGTGGACATGGCCCATCCTCTTCTTTTCCAGAGATGATCCAGGGAACAAGTCTCTTCACTGGTTCTTTGGTTTTGAACATGATTGTTGGCTTCGCTTTCACAGAATCATGTTCAGTTTGCCATGCTTCCCCCGAAAGTCCAAACGTGAACTGGTATCGACTTATAATTTGCACTAAATTAAGTACTGCATTATTCAAACTTGTACTAATTGCAACCTACCTGTACAGTGTTAATGCTGCATTGTGCTTATGTCAAAAATTTGTTTTCTCTGGAGAATCTTAACTCACTCTGCCTTCTAGCTCCTCATTATCTGATCCTGGCAATTTGATGGCATGATTAGGAAACTCCATGAGCTTGAGAGTCAGCTAGTTAGTTGGCCCTTGTGGGTTTTGAGTTATTGTCAACTGGATCTTTACCTCAGCTGTCCTTACAGTTTTTCTTATGCTGCTTTGATGGCATTTTAATTGTTAAACGAACTGGACTAGACTAGACTAGACTAATAATAATAATAATAATAATAATAATAATAATAATAATAATAATAACGATGACGATGATGATAAAGTTGGAAGGGACCTTAGAGGTCATCTAGTCCAACCCCCTGCTCAGGCAGGAAGCTTCCTGGCACGGAGTGAAGTTAGTAGCCATGCAAATCAAATCAAATCAATAATTAACTCAAATACCAAATTGTTGATATGTGTCATCAATAGACTCTCAGTTAACAAGTTGGCAACTTTAGACTGGACTGGACTGGACTGGACTGGACTGGACTAGACTGGACTAGACTAATAATGATGATGATGATTATGATGATGATGATGATGAAGTTGGAAGGGACCTTGGAGGTCATCTAGTCCAACCCCCTGCTCAGGCAGGAAACCCTATACCATTTTGGACAAATGTCTGTCCAGTTTCTTCTTAAAAACTTCCAGTATTGTTGCATTCACTGCTTCTGGAGGCAAGTTGTTCCACTGGTTAATTGTTCTAACTGTCAGGAAGTTTCTCCTTAGTTCTAGGTTGCTTCTCTCTTTGGTTAGTTTCCACCCGTTGCTCCTTGTCCTGCCTTCAGGCGCTTTGGAAAATAGCTTGACTCCCTCTTCTTTGTGATAGCCCGAGATATTGGAACACTGCTATCATGTCCCCCCTCGTCCTTCTCTTCGTTAAACTAGACATATCCAATTCCAGCAACCGTTCCTTATATGTTTTAGCCTCCAGTCCCCTAATCATCTTTGTTGCTCTTCTCTGTTCTCTTTCTAGAGTCTCAACATCTTTTTTACATCGTGGTGACCAAAACTGGATGCAGTATTCCAAGTGTGGCCTTACCAAGGCATTGTAAAGTGGTATTAATACTTCACTTGATCTTGATTCTATCCCTCTGTTAATGCAGCCTAGCACTGTGTTGGCTTTTTTGGCAGCTGCAGCACACTGCTGGCTCATAGAACAACTTTAAGATGTGTGGGTTTAAACTCTCAGAATTCCCCAGTCAGCAAAAAAAATTTCAGAGTTGAAATCTACCCACTGTAAAATTGCCATGTTGAAAAAAATAATCTAAAGTAACCTAACAATAAGCAAAATAATCTAGAATAATCTTCACTGCACTTCAAATAGATTTAAAAGAATTAATCAATGGCCAGACTAGTCTTTTAAATTCCCCTGCCCTGGTTAAAAAATTAAGCCATATTTTGAGCTCAGCATTCAATTTCAGTATTAATTCACTGCTGCAACGGTTGTTTGAATGACATAATCACCTAATTATAAACTGACAAATTTGATAACTCAGATACCACAGCCAGCTATTTAGGGTACAATGGCTTGCAGATGAGTTTCAAATTAAGGTCTCTAATCATAGTTGGTCATCTAAGTTGGTTGCTGGGCAATCTCAAAAATAACAGAACATTATAGTTTATTTAAAACAATGATAGTTCTACATTATATCGAACCCAAAAACAATCTATTCTTGCTGAAGACACAAGAGTAAATACTATCTATTACAAGTGTCCCAGTGATTGTCCAGTGTGTGACACAAACATGCACGAGCTATTCCATTTGTTAAATATTCTTATTTGCATAACTGGTATAACAGACCCACATGTGAATATATGTTTTTATGCAGCTGGCCACTATGAAAATAAAATGCTAGATCAGATGGACAACAAGAAGCACATTCATATTTTTGCTTTCATGAAGGAACAGTAGAATCTAACTCTTTCTAATTGAATTTTACTAATCCCACACGGCCTTTAGCAAAAGAAGCAATACAGATATCTGTGATCATATTAAAAATAATTTTACAGAATACTTGAAGAAATAACTTTTTGATTCACATGATGTATATTTGTGTGCAAGAAAAAAACTCGTTTGAATTCAAATACTCGTCTTAATCCCCTCTTGTTCTTGCATGTTTTATAAGATCCAAGATAAATCTAAAAAGAACACAATCCCTCTGCTTGCAAAGCAGTATTAAATATTTCATACAATGGATCCAAGCTGGCAGTCAGCCACAAAGCTACAATGGAGCACAGAGAAGAAGCACTTTTTCACATTTCAAGAAAATACAGCAATCTCAGAACAAATAAATATACAGTCATGATTGAAAGAAAGAGAC